CCAGTGCAGTATGTAGCAAGGCTGGGCATGGTGGCACCTGCTGGTGATCTCGAATTCTGGGACACTGAGGTGGGAGGATGGTAAGTTTAAGGATGGGTAGCTTAGCAACTTAGAAAAACCCATCCCAAGATTAAAAAAAAAAAGGGATGGGGACATAGCTCAACACAAAGGCCTTACGTTCTAGCAAAACCCCCACGGAGGGTTCAGGTCTCCACCTGGCAATATGGCACATGGATGAAGAGAGAGATCTGCAGTTGAAAGGGGCAGTTACTCTCAGTGGAACAGAGGGTGAAGAGTCAGCCTGCCCAAGGCTTCACTTGGTACCAGTTGGGGACGTAGGTTGGTCACAGCAAAGTGCATGGGAAGAGAAGCTTTGCAGGCGTGGTGTACAGGGAGAAACAGGGCACTCTTGCGTCAGGTACAGGGCTCCCCAATTAGTGACGCAGCAGATGATTTGACGTATGCAAGGCTGGCACCGTTCCTACCGGGAAGGCATAACTCTTTTTGAGTCTCATGGCCTCAGTTGAGATGTTATTTCCTGTCTTAGCCCCCAAATTTCAGGCTGTTGCTTGAGCTTCCATTCCAGTGTCTGTAGGGAACAACTCTGACCGGCTTTGCTGCGGTGAGACCCATTGAGGCCTCAGCCAGCCTGGATCACATTCTTTTGGCCCATTAAGGGAACAGCTGCATCTAGATAGCCAGCTCTGCACATCTCAGGAAATAGGATTGAAGTAAAGGTCAGCTAACGATGGAGGCAAGGGGCCTCATTTCTCAGGGGAACGTGGCTTGGTGGTGTCTGACGAGATTCAATTCCCACTACTGCAAGGGAGAAAAATACTAGAGGTAGGGACTACTGGGAGGTGTTCAGGTCACTAGGGGTACATGCCCTTGACAGAGAGACCCCAGCCCCTTCTTCTTCCTCTCTTTCTTGCCCCAACATGAGGTGAGTGACTTTGCTACATGTGGTCATGTGATTGCCCCCTAACCACAGGCCCAAGAGCAGCAGGGCCGATCAATCAGTAACTGAAAAGTCCAAAACTGTGAGCCAAAAGTGAACCTGTCCCTTTCTAAGGCGATTATCTTGGGTGTTTTCCGTAGCAACAGAAGGTTAACATAACATCACTGATTAGCAGCTCTAGAAAAGAACATTCTTTCCCCCACCCCCTGGGGTTTTTTCCCCACCTAATAGTGCCATCAACACTGGGTATGGTAGTGTGCACCTGTAGTCCCAGCACTCAGGGGGCTGAAGCAGGATGATAAAGTTCAAGACCAGCCTGATATGCATAGTGAGACTGTCTCAGAAAGACAATAAACCATCAAAAAAAAAAAAAAAAAAATCATGAAAGAGGGCCAGCAAGATAATTCAGCGGACTAAGCGCCTGTTTAGGCAAGTGCAGGGACCAGAGTTCAATTCCTGGTCTCATGTACCACACCAGCCTGTCCCCAGAGTCCGCTGATCCTGTGACTGAGTCTGGTGTGGTGGCACACATCTGTAAGCCCAGTGCTGGGGTGGCTGAAAACAGGAGGATCACTACGAATCCAAGCTGCGTAGTGAGACCCTGTACCAAATACACAAAATGGGAAAGAACCATAAGGCTCCCTTTCCTTTCTTTCTTATTTATTTTTTTTTGCAGAACCAGGGATTGAACTCAGGCCCTTGCGCTCGCCAGGGAAGTGCTTATTCCACTGAGCCATCTCCCCAGCCCCTATTTATTTACTTTTTTACTGTGATTTCCAGGTTGGCCTCTAACTACTGGGCTCAAGCAGTCCTCTTGCCTCAGCTTCCTGCCTAGCTGGGATTACAGACTCACACACCCATGCCTGGCTTGAGGAACTCATGAGCTCGTTCTTCTCCTAAGATTAATAGCTTAATTATAGGATCTCTATATTATAAATCATCGAAGTTTTAAGAATATAAAATCCATTAGTATTAAGGTGTGAATTCTCAGAGTTACAAATTCATTAACATAAATAAATTTAAGCACATTTAAAATTTTTTAAAGTTAGGAATAAAGTTGTTTTTGATAGTAAATCAGTGACTTACAGAAAAGGTCAAGTTTCCATTTATTTGGGGAATGAGAACTAGACAAGGTGAACCTGTGGTTTTTGTATGTTCTTTGTTTCAAGGTCAAAATATTGTTTTGTTTTTCTTCTGTGGGATGTGCTATAATGTTTATGAAGGCCAGAAATAAGATGTGAGTTTTGCTTCCACAAATCAAATAGCTACATATTTCACAAAAATGCTTATTTTCTAGCTGAATATTAGAGAGGTTTTTTTAGGCAGGAAATCAATAGTCAGAAAAACACTGAACCAACTCAAGTTAACTTAAGCAATTAAGAAAATTATCAGCTCATGTATGAAAACCCACAACAGTGGAATGGGGTCTTCAGGGAGTGCTCAGTGAGGACTCTATCCATTTCTCTATAATTCAGTTTTCTTCTCTCTCTGTCAACTTGGTCCTCAGGTTGGTTTCCCTCATGGTAGCAAAATGTCCACAATGTCCAAAACGAGGGTCTTCCCACTGAGCTGTATCTCCAGCCCCTTTTGTTATTTTTCCTTTATTTTGAGGGTGTTTCACTAAGTTGCTAAATTTCATGGGCTAGTTGGAACTTGAAATCCTCCTGCCTCAACCTCCCAAAGCACTGGAATAGTAGGCACATGCTACCTTGACTAGCAGAAAGCCCTTCCTTTAAAGCACACTTTTGCCTGGGGGGCTATAGAAGGAAGCACAAGGCCAGCCCAAAGTCGATAGCAAGACATATCTCAAAAAAGAGGAAAAAAAGACCTTGGATTAGTTTAATATGAATACTAAAGTGAGAGAGGGTTATACAAAGTTCAAGCTTCTTGTCAAGCAGTACTCCAAGCTCATCCTCTAAGCCTTCCCATCCCCACACTGAGCTCCCAATTCATGTGGCAGACAAAACATAAAAGTTTATATATTTTTAAAAGATTTTAAAAATTCATGGGCCAGAAACAAATGTAAAGTAGAAAATGCAACTGAAGGAAGGAAGAAAGAAAAGAACAAAGAATAGGAAGTAGAAAGTAGAATTCCAGAATCAGGACTAGATTTTGTGACCTTGAGGAACCACTGAAGCTAATGTGGATGAGGTAGTTCATGCAAAAAGAAGTATGGCACAAAGGCCTGTAGTATTGAGGATTCAAATCCAAATTTATGTTTAATTTGGGTAAGATAAGGCAGTATAAAAATGAAAGAGGCCGGGGAGATAGCTCAGTAGAATAAGCGCTTGCCTGGCAAGCACAAGGACCTGAGTTCAATCCCTGGTTCCGCCAGAAAAAAAAAAAAGATAGTAGCATTTTAGGGGCCTGGGAGGTGGCTCAGTAGTGTAAGCGCATCCCTGGCAAGTGCAAGGGCTTGAGTTCAATCCCTAGTTCCACAAAAAAAAAAAAAAAAAAAAAAAAAAAAAAAAAAAAAAAAAAAAAAAAAAAAAAAAAAAAAAAGAAAAGAAAAAAGAAAGAGCAAAGAACAGGTTACTTAATAAATGATTGAGAAATTTATGTTTATTTGAAAAGAATAAGGTTGGATCCCTACCAAAGAATAAATGTAACATCAAAGATAGTCAAAGTTGGAAATTCACCTCACACCAAACATTTGTATCAAAATAGTCAGTGAATATAAGAAAAGTAAAACATTATTAAAAAAAAATAAGAGAATAATTCTTACAACATGGCAATACATTCTGATAGAAGATATAAGATAAAAAGAAAGTCAGATGTCAAGATAGAAAAAGCTTGTGTTTAGCCACTCAGAAAAAGTAATCTTTCATATTTTAGAATTCATTATCAATAAAAAATGGAGTGAAAGACTAGGTGGAAATATTTGCATCATACACAATGGAAAAATGGTGCTATGAGGAATTCCCTATTTTTCACTACTCACTTTGAGATGGGCAGACCCTGGGGAGCGGGCATGAGGAAACCCTGAATTGATGAACATATTGTATAGGGCTTTCCACGTCTCAGATTCATGCGTCTCTCAGACTGGGAATACGCAGCATGAGGATTTCACTCTATGTAAATGATGCCTCTATATTTAGTTCCTCTAACAGCTACATGACAAAAATAAACACCTAGGAAATTAGCAGACACTAAACACAACATGATTGTAGAAGAATTACTCACAATAATGAATTTATAGACATACGCTTAACTGTATCAATAGTTATTTTAATTTTTTCTTTTCTCCACAAATACTCTCATTTATTGTTGATGAATGTATACATTGGTAGAGCCTTATGTAGGAGAAACTTAAGAGTGTTTGACAAAAACATTTATATGTATAATCTACAATGCTTTAATCTCAGACATCCAGATATATCCTTCTGATAATCCAGCCAAAGTATATAAATCTGCCTGTACAAAGGCATTTCCTTGAGTGTATTTTTTCTAATATAAATTTTATAGAAACAATTTTAATATCCATCAGTCACAAAAAGGGTTAAAATATAATGAGATGCAATTAATGTTACTGGACTGTATACCTAGAAATTGTTAAAAGCATGTTTTATAACATATGCAGATATTGACCACAATAAATCTTATGCTTCATCTGTACAATGGATTGCTCTGCAGACTCTTAAAAAAGTATGATAGATGGTATATGTAGACTTTAAAATGGTTTACTTAATTAAATAGACATACTTTTAAATATATATGTACTTCCATGTACTTAAATATATATGTACTTGCATATATTTTGTATAACTGTACAAAAATAGAAAAATTCCAGTGTGAGACATGCTAATCATTGTAACAATTACTGCTTGTGTTAACTCATAGAAAAACTTAGCTTTTTACTTTATATATCACTAAATTGTTTCAGTTAACAAGAAAAAATAAATAAATAAATAAAAGCACACTTTTCCTAGCAGTTCAGTGCATTCAACTGCAGGTCTAGAATCTGATTTTCCAGCTCCTGCTCCAAAGCCATCCTAACACATAAACCTTGGGGTCTCTTCTCTCTTTTCATGGCTTTCAACAGTATGTGAAAGCCAAGTGCCCCAGGGCCAACCTGCCTCCTCTCTATGCCCTGGACCTGCTGACCATCTATGCCTGGGAGATGGGTACCCATAGAGAGGAGAGCTTCAGTTTGGCTGAAGGCCTCACCACCGTGATGGAACTGCTCCAGGATGCCGAGCTCGTCTGTATCTACTGGACCAAGTACTACACGCTCCAGAACCCAGTCATCGCAGGTGTTATCAGAAAACAGCTCAAAAAAGAGAGGTACTAAGCCACTGCTTGCCCACTAAGTCTCACGGAAAAAGAAAAAAAGAGAGTCTAGGGGACTATAGCATGGAGTTTTATGGGCTGACTTTCTTCGGCACATAGTAAAACTGCCATATGAGTTGACAAGATCTCAAATGGAGATAGTACCTTAAGTTCACAGCCTACTAATCTCCCAGGGTCTGGGTGGGTCCCTTAGGGGATGTGAGCCTTTGTCTTGCTCCAAAGGCCACCCGTGCTCCTCTTGCTCGCAGAAGATCACTTCCTCTTTTCTTGGAAAGGGCATGTGAAAATGGGGAGGATCCTGGAGATTCATACTTAAATCTCAGGTCTACCATTTTCTAAGTTCTATGAGCTTTGGTTCTCATCTGTAAAACAGGAATAAACTGGTACAGTACTGACAACGCAGGATGGCCACAAAGCTCACAGAAATATATGTGAAGGATGCACAGTGTCTAGGGTGTGATAGATGCTGCAAAAATGCTCGTTCTTGCAGCTCAAGTCCTCAGAGCCCCAACTCCTATACTCTTGACCGCGACCTTGGCAGGGCAGGCTGGCATTTCCAACTGCCAACTCCTGTACCTCTTAGCCTGCCTGAGGTCTTCCTCTCACCAAGAGACCCATCTGGGAGCAGCCCTCAACCAATGACTGGAGGGAATAGGTGATAAATACCCCAGCACTGAGTCCCCTCAGATAGCAACGACTCCAAGGCTTGTCTTCCACCACTATTTCCCAGAGTTCCCTGGGCGGGGGGAGGCTGACATTCAGTTGCCCATAGTGCTGATGACCTTGACTTCTCCCTAATTGGCTCTCTTCCTTCCCTCATGTCATTTTCTCAACCCCTTATTGTTGCCTCCTGGAATCCCCTTCCTAATAAGCCTATCTTTACTCTGGAGTTTCACTTGCAGGGGAACCCAGCCTAGACAAATCTTTACATTACAAATTTTAGTAATTCATTATGTGAGTGTTGAATTTTTTACTTGTAGGGGTGGTTTGATTTTGTTTTCCAAGAAGAAAAGCAGATCTCCTGATGTAGAGAGGATTTATTATAAGGATGCCCAGAAAATTGGGGATGTAAAAATACCCGCAGGATCTTAAGCAGACCTAGAGATTGACTCTACTCTCCCTCTCCCTCCATCCTTCTCTTCTCTGCTTCTTCTTTTCCTTTGATTCCAGTCTGCTCCTCATTTCTTTCCAGTGTGTGTGTGTATGTGTGTGTGTGTGTGTGTGTGTGTGTGTGTGTGTGTAACCGAGGATTGAACTCAGGACCCTGAGTTTGTTTTCGCTTTTAATGTATTTAGTTGTTGCAGGGTCTCATCACGCAGCTTGGACTCGTGATGATCCTCCTGCTTTCAGCCTCCCCAGCATTGGAATTACAGGCATGTGCCACTATGGCCAGACTGGTCGGCTCAGCCCACCCTGGGGGCAGGGCTGATGTGGCATTTGGTGCCAACCCCGTCCTTGCACTTGCCTAAGCTTGCCTAAGTAGGTGTTTTAGTCCCCTTAGAAGCTATCTCGCCAGCCTCCTTCCAGTTGTCAAAGGGCCTCCATCACCCCTGGCCAAACCTCAGAAGAAACCAGACTGATCAATGGACTCAGGTCCTATGCAGTAGATTACCTGCCAGCCAACAGAACAAGCCCCTCTGTGGCAAGTTTCCCAAGCCCCATGGGATAGCCCTGTATTGTTCCCCCAGTGGTTCCAGACTGGACTGTCAGGGAGCAGGAGGCATTGGGGATTAGCAGATAGATATTCTGAGCATCCAGTTCACCCCAATAGTCTGCTCTTATAGTCTGCCACAGACAGTCACAGCTCCTAAGCCAAAAACCCTGGTGTGCGAAGGTCAGGGCTTACTCTGGGATTGCTATAATCCTCACGCAGTCGTGCCCAAGAGGCCTAAGCACTGGACTCCACTCAAGCCAAAGCTCTTGAAAGTATTTGTATAATGCTGGGCATGTGGCACACCCTTCTGATCCCAGCACCACAGAAAGTAGAAGCGTGAAGATTGCAAGTTTGAGCCCAGTCTGGGCAACTTAGCTAAGACCTTACCTCAAACTGAAAAAAGAAAAGAAAAGGGGCTGGGGATGCTACTCAGTGAGAAGGTCCTTGGTTGAATCCCCAGTACCATGTTTAAAATCCTCAAATGAATAATTCAATATTCCTAGCGAATGCCAGGCTGGGTGGTGCGTGATTGTAACGCCCACACACAGAAGACTAAGACAGGAGGATTGCCATGAGCTTGTGGCCAGCCTGAACTACACAGTGAGATCTTCTCTCAAAAAACAAAAAAAAATGAGTTTGGAGATAGCCAATTAGAATGGACTCCTACTCATGCACTGGCTGTGAGAACTCAGAAAAGTCTGCGACTGTTTCCTTACCTGTAAAATGGGGGAGGTGGGTCCAACAACAGGAATAGGCCCTCCTTGTAGAATTGCTGTAAGGACTGAAACAGGTTAATGCGCATCAGGTTTGGCTCAGCACATCAGGACGAGTGGCAGTGGCAGTGTTCCTATCAGCCAAAGCTGAGCCGCAGCTCCGCCTCAACCTGCTGCTGCCTGCTATGACCTCGGAGGGCCCCCTCCCCTGCCTGAGTGGCATCTAGTATCACTGCAGCATGTCCCTTGGGGCTTCACCCTCTCCACCCCCAAAATTCCTTGCAAACACCCAGAGTACTCTCCAGAGAGGAATGGAACTGAGCACCGCCCTCCTCTTGCTCTCTGGTGTTTCAGGGCCCTCCCAGAGGGACAGCCCTGGGCTCAGGACACAGATGCTTGGTGGCTTGAATGTATGGTTGCGGTGGTGCCTTCCCAGCTCTCAGCCTCCAAACTGGAGGAACATGGCGCCCTTTCCCTGTGTTGCAGGCCCATCATCCTGGACCCAGCAGATCCCACACACAATGTGGCAGAAGGGTACAGATGGGACATAATGGCTCAGAGGGCCTGCCAGTGCCTGAAACAGAACTGTTGCTATGACAACAGTAACACTCCAGTCCCCGGCTGGGATGTGAAGGTAATGACTCCTTTCAGGACCGTCAGGGACTTGAAGCTCAGAACAAGATGGCCGCATGGTGCTGAGTCATCCACTGCTGAGGCAGAAGTGAACGGCACTTTAGAGGCCAACACTGTGAGGCCAGACTGCACCTCCCATCTGTTGTGTGTGTGAACTGGGGAAAGGCCTTTGGTTTGCTGTGCCTCAAGTTCCTTATCTTTAAATTCTTCCCCCCACCCATCCCTGCTCCATAGAACCTACTGGAAAATCAGTTCCATTCTCCTGATCATGCTTTGCATGAGCTGAGCAGCCAAGTCAACTCAGTTGGCTGTTAGCTGCTAGCACCAGGCCCGAGGAGTGGGTGGGGCAAGGGCAGCACACAGGGAACAGACAGGACTCTGCCCCTGCCCTTGAGGAGCTCATCCTATGCTGTTAACAAGCAAATAATATTCTTATGTGATACTAGGCCTATAGTACAGGCAAAGATTAAAACAAATCTTTGTTCTTCTCATCACCTTTTACAATTTTCAAAACACCTATATGGAGACCACCTCACAGCAAGTCTGTAAAGTAGGAAGGTCCAACGTCATTATCTATATTAATACCATTACTATTATTGCCATTTTATAGATGGGGACACTGAGGCTTAAAGAGGTTAAAGCAGTTGATCATTGTCACACTACCAAGAGGCAGCAAAGCAAGGTTTCACAGGTCTTTGTGGGGCTCCATAAACTGAACAAATATTATCGGAAGTCATTAGAGATGATTCCTTGAGGGATCTAGGGCTTAAAGGGAGCCCGAAAGACCAGGGAAGGCAACCAATGCTGGAATAGAAGTCACTCCAGGTTAAGCGGTCAGGTGGGACTAAAAGGGGTCAGAATGCAAGGTGGCAAAAAGCAAGGCATATGGAAGAACAGGAGACTGCCCCCATGCAGCAGAAGCAGAAGCAAAATCAGAGGCTCTGTGCAAAGTACAAATTAGAGGACCCTCCAGCCACAGGAGACTGACCTACAGATGGGCTGAATAGTGTGTGCCTCTGGATTTTTTCCTGAATATAAAAAACACCATGCAAAGATTTTTATCTTGAAAAACTCAGGAAACTGCCAGGCGTGGTGGCACACATCTATAATCCCAGCACTGGGAAAGCGGCTGAGGCCAGGAGATCACTGTGAACTCAAGGCCAGCCTGGGCTGCAAAATGAGTTTGAGCCATCCTGAACTGCATAGCAAAACCCTATCCCAAAAAGACAAAAGAAAAAAAAAGAAAGAAAGAAATTTTTTCAGGAAATTTTGCAACATAAGGCTTAGATTTTGTTCTCAGAACTGCATCCAGCCTCAATTGCCTCATCTGCAAAATGGGGAGAACAGAAGAGTCACCTCCTAGGGTTGCTATGAGAAGAAATTGCATTCAGGGCATGGGAGGCACTCAGCACAGGCCCTGGAAGGTGGCTGACATTCCCTAATATTTGCTGCTGCTTGTGTCTTTGCTGCTATTGAAAGATGGAGACAGGTGAAGGGAACTTTCGCATGTCCAGCAGAAGTATGGTCTTAACCCCTCTCCTTCTCTCTTGCAGAGAGCCAGAGACATCCAGCTGACGGTGGAGCAGTGGGGTCACTCTGATTTGGTCATCTGGATGAACCCTTATGAGCCCGTATCAAAGGTGAAAGAGAAAATCCGGCAGAGCCGAGGCCACACAGGCCTGCAGCGCCTGTCTTTCCAGGAGCCTGGCGGTGAACGGCAGCTCCTCAGCAGTCACAGCTCACTGGCCTACTATGGGATCTTCTCTGACACCCACATCTGCCTGCTGGTCACTGTATCCCCTGAGATCCAAGTCTTCGTGAAGAACCCGGATGGTAGGAGCCACGCCTATGCCATCCACCCCTACCAATTCGTTCTGGGCCTGAAGCAGAGTATTGAAGACAGGCAGGGGTTCCCCAGCAAGCAGCAGCAGCTGGCGTTCCAGGGCCACGTCCTGCAGGACTGGTTTGATTTTGCATGCTATGGCATCCAAGACAGCGACACAATCATCCTCTCCAAGAAGGCGACAGAAGAGGCTCTCCTTTCACCCAGATAGTTTCCTTGGTTTTCCATGCATTTCTGCCACCATGTCCAGAACTCAGGACTGGGAGAAGAAGAGTATTTGCCTCCTATGTATGAGGTCCTAGGCTCAATTATTGGACTATGAAAGAAAGAAAAAGAAAGAAAGAAAGAAAGAAAGAAAGAAAGAAAGAAAGAAAGAAAGAGAGTTAGAGAAAGAAAGAAAGAAAGAAAGAAAGAAAGGAAAGAAAGAAAGAAAGAAA